ATATAAAGAGTCACATTAATGATGAAAACAGAATATCATCCAAAAGTCAGATGGCCCAATCACTCTTACATGGCATCAACTACAAAATAGTGTGTGTCACTGTGCTAGATTAAGTCATCTTAGGCAAATAGGAGGAGCCCAAATGAACATACTTAGTCTTTGTTGGGCACACACTTTCCTAATGGCAGGATAGTGAACCTGTATTTTGTAAATATTGCATTGTGTTGTTCATTGTGCCTCTAAGGAATGATGTTCTCAGTCTATTTTACTGCAACTATTGTCCCAGGAAAGAAGGATGTATGAATTTACTTGGGAGAGAGGAGGATGTGACATAGGTTATACCCATACTACCCTCAAAGAGAAAGTGAGAAGCTTGACTCCAATATCTTGGTACAGCCAGGAGAGTAGAGAAGGAAGTAACAACTTGTGTACACATATATTCTCACCTCTCTCCTGAAATATTATCTTAAGTTGGGGTGACAGGGATTGAAGAAGCTGAAACTCAACAGCTACACTGCCATTTGAGATCATGGAGTAAAATGCACAGTACAGGAGACCTTAGTGCCACCCTTAAGACATGAGAAGCAGAGTCATAAAGATATGGTGGCATGGCTGCATGGCAAGACCATGTCAGTCTCCTTCTTTCCTTTGCCAACCCCACATCTCCTTTTCGGGTCCTGAACCCCAATGGAGGTGGACTCTGCCTGCGAGGGATAATTCTTATGCTGCAGAGACACATGTTCCTTGTTCAGCCATTTTTCTTGCTGCTCTATTCATAATATACAGAAGCAGAAACAAATTAAATGCCTTTCAACTGATGAAAGGATAATGAAAATGTGATACATTTACACAATGGGATTATATTCAGCTGGAAAGAAATGAAACCATGAAATTTGCATGCAATGGATGGTACTTGAAAAATATTATACTAATTCAGGAAACTCAGACATAGAAAGAAAAAATGACACATTGATTTTCTTATTTGTGGATAATACCTCTAAATCTTTAGATATAGTAACCACAGAAGTCAGAAAAGTGAAATGCAGCCTTTGGGAATTGGGAGAATCCTAGGTGACAGGAGGACAGCAGGACAGAGGTGTGTTGACGGCAGAAACAGAACATGTGGGGGAGTGGACTTTAACAGGGGAGAGCAGAGCAGGGAGGCTGAGCAATACTGAGGGAGAGAGTGAAGGAATAATTTTCACCGAGCATGTTTAAAATAGCTATAAGGGTATATCATTTTATAAATTTAATACTATATTTACACATTTACTATTATATATAGCGTGTATATGTTGTGTGTGCATGAGTGTATTAATAGTAATAATTAAAAAAGCATTAATTTGAAAGAAATGGGGTACACAGGAAGAATTGGAGGGAGGAAGGAAGGATGACAAAGTTATGAGAATAGTTCTCATTAAACTCTAAACAATAAAAAATTTAATTAAAAAATAATAACACTTCTTTCCTGTTTAATTTTTTAAAAAAATATTCTTTTGCTCTACTGCCTATAACTTCTTCACTCATGGGTTTACAGTATCAGGATATATATATTTGACTACTGAGTCTATTCAGTATAGCCAGTATGTACAAGTGTTTAGGACTGACCACTTTGGATTGGATAATCTTTCAGATAGCTCACCCCAAGATGCTGATTCTCCCTCTCTTGGCATGCATCAGTTGTCTGTAGCTCTTCATCTAGAGACACGGCCTTCTGAAATTCCTTCCTTCTATGGTGATATTATATTCTGGTGTTATCATTCTTTGTCTTTTTTGGGTACCCTACTGTTGACAGCTCATGGATGCAGCTTCTCTGTCACATCTAAGAGACACTATCTTACAGCAGGTTTTCTGGTCCTCTGATTTCTCGACTCTTTCAGGCTTCTCTACCAAGAATTTCTTTGAGAATTGGGTGTAGTGGCTAAGCTCTAGATATGTCAACTGGGTTTCTATTGACACTTATTATCCTCATTTGAGCCAGTTTTGGATCCCAAATAGTCTCTATTTTTTGCAAAAAGAAGCACCTTTGATTTTGAGTAAGATTGTGGAGGTAAGATAAGTATTTAGAATGCAAGTGAAAAATGTATTTGCTTAGGAAAATGGCAATAGTAAGTTATCCTCTGTGATTTATGTCATCTCCAGCCAGGTGGAGTTGACTAAGTTTACATTAGCAGGCATGAATTCCCTATTGGCCTTATGTTCAATTAGATAGCTGTTGATTATCCCTAATATAAGACTGTCACTATTACACCATTAGGGTTATCTTGATAGACCATTCATTGTGGTTTGTAGGCATTATAGCTGGATAGCACTATTGATTCCTTTTTTCCTTGGCAGTTTGCTTAGCACCTTCGAATATTATCAGTTAGAGAAATCAGAGAGAAGGCTTACAAACTAATTCCAACTGGATTGCTGCAAGTCCTCTGCATAATGTGTGAATTATCTTAGCAATAAAGTATTGTTTTCAATATCTGGCTGTAATCAAGGGCAATAGCAATAGCCTATTTGTTTTTGGTGTCTTTTGGACTCACCTGACCAACAACTTTAAGAGAGGTTTTGTGTTCCTTGTACTAGATGTTTTGGTAGATTGACTAGTGCTTTTTGTATGGTTCACTTTGTAAACCTACATAATCAGTAACTGCATTTTAGTTATTTGTCTTTATACTCACATATAAGCATAGTCCTCGCTCCTCATCAAAAACACTTCTCTTGGCAACAGTTGGATATTGTTACAGAAAACCACACGAGATCAAATTGCAGAGCTGTGGAGCTAAGCCCCAACTGATACATTTACAACACAACTCCTGCACAAAAGGCTCTAAAATAATTGCAAAAGAGAAAATGGAATGATTCTAAAAGCCAGAGGATCAAGGGTTTCTGTGGGAAATTGTGTACATACCTGTATTGATTCCTCTACAAGGTAAAATCAACTTGCCTATGACAGATGATCTTTTATTTTTATGTATGCCTATATATGGTTAACAACTGCTTTACTGAGAATTTTTATAGAATAATGAGCAGTGGTTTTATATTTTTGTCTTTGCCTGGTTTGATATTAGTATAATAATGGCTTCATTGGAGCTATTACTTCTATTTCTATATTTGAATAATTTCAGAAGTGTGGAATATTCCTTTATACTGTGTGAATAAATGTTGTTGTGATTGTTTCAATAAACAATCTGACTGGCCAGTAGCTGGACATGATAATGTTAGTCAGGATAACAAAACTAAGAATGCTGGGAAGAAGAAGGGATTCGTCAGAGGATTTGCTTGCCAGACTGAAAGGAAGAAAGACATGCAGAAGAGATAAAAGTTTTGAGCTGTGGGTCAACACACAGATTAATAGAAAGCATTAAGTTGTATGAGTTAGTTAGTAACAAGGCTCAGTTATTGGCTGAGCATTTATAATTAATAAAAAGTTTTTGTGTGGCTATTTGGGATTGACTGCCAAGACACAGAGAAACTCTGCCTACAAATGGTGCCCAAATGTCCAACACCAACATCCACATTAAGACCCGAGAAAGCTTTAAAAAAGTTCTAAACACACACAAATGTAGCCAAATGCATAGTCTCCTGTCTCTCATGCAGTACAGAGACCTGTTTCCTGTTAGCTGCCAGCACTCCATGAGCTAACCTTCATGGTGAGTTCCTGCAGTCTCTCATATGGGTCATGATGAAGAGATGTATCTTCCAGGCACTGCCTATACACTTGAACCACCAGCATGCTGCATATTGGGATTGGGGTTTTGCTCATTCAGACAGAAAAGGCTGCAGATAATCAGTAAAGACAGATCCAGACAGAAAAACATCTAAGCAGTTATAGTGTGTTTAAAAATGTACAAAGGCTTGGGAGAGAAAAGAAAAAAGATATAGACTGTCATTATCTATCTATCTATCTATCTATCTATCTATCTATCTATCTATCTATCTATTTACTTTTAAAATAATAGAGTACCTAAAAAGGAAGTAAGTCAGTATAAAAGAAAAAAGCCACGTAAATGTGGAAAATACACAGAGAGTCTGAATCCTGTATGTTATTGTGTTGTCTTTAAATTTTTTGGCTGCTAAGAGACACTGGATTATGGAAGCTGCTAGATTAAACAAACCTATATATTTTAAGAATATCTTGACTTCAAAATGGAAGTTAAAAGGTGCGTTGCATAGGAAGGGAGGTTATGCTTTCATTTCTACAGGAAATGGGTGGCTATGAATTTATTCCAGATTAACATGGACCAGGTTTGATTGAGGAAGACCTGCAAATCCTGACTACAAGCATAAAGAAATAAACCTAAATAAGCTACAAAGCATGTAACATATATTTTACCTGCTCAAACATTAAACAATAAAAAATCATTTGCCAACTTTTACAATGCATAGTCTATACTTGTATGAATATAGATATATATTACCTTTAAAAATTTATATATTCTTTCAGAACCAGGAGATGAGACACCAATGAAAACAGATTGCCCAGATGATCAAGTATCTCAAGAGGTCTCTATTATAGTTTCTTCAGAGTTCTGCATCGAGAACGGCTTCAAGGCTGCTGGCTGAGATGGTCCAGCCTCACAGACTACTGCAGCCAAGACTTAACCATTATCCTAAATTTTCTCAGGGTCCAAAGATACCAGTGCCCACAAACAGCAAGAAGTAGTCTAGAGAATGATGATCACATACCCAAAAGATGGGCTATAGATGCTTACTTTCATTTAAAGTGCATTGGTTGGGAATTGTTATTGGTCATAGTAGAAAAAAAAAAGCTAAACAAAAGAGTTAAATTCAAAGACCTCTTTCTAAAGGAAAACAGTTGTTCTTTAATCCAAAGAACAACTATTAATCTCAAAATATTTTACATTAGTATGGATTTTGGTTATTGATAAAATTTAAAGTTATTTTTGTTTTACTGTATATATTTTTCTACTCTTGTTCAAGATGTTTTTGTATATTGATAAAAATTTTAAGGTTATTTTTGTTAGATCATACTGTCTATACATTTCTACTCTTGTTCAAGGTATTGTACATATGCAACTCATTTATCAATGTAAAATAAACTTCTAGTCCTTGAAACCTACTATTACAAACTATTCAGGATAATAAAGAAATACAGGTTAGTAGTTAGTCACCTATTACAATCAAACTTGTAGTCATGTTAGGTATGTTTTCAAGTTCAAATAAAGATATGTTTTAGACAGGTGGTCTTCAAACATGTAAGAGATCTACAGAATATGGCCATTAGGATGTTTCAATAATAAAAGGTTTCTTATAACAATGAGACATATCTGCTCCCAGCAATACCAATCTACTTCAAAGATGATTGGCATCAAAGAAATTCCATAAGGAGTTTGATTTTATTGTGGCAAAAGTTATCCACTGAACAAGAAACTGCCCTTTCCTCAATGTTGACAGTATACTATCCAAATTGGACAAGCAGGACTCAAAAGGAAGTGACTATAGAACTTTGTCAAGACAAGGCAGGACACTCATTCAAAATTCCTGCTTCCCAGAAAAGTCTGTAAGATATTCTAGGCCTGAAGAATGAAGATGGGTGCCCTACCATTACAGAAGGACTTTGATTCCCCAGGCAGATGTTCCAGTTGTTAACTAAAATTTCACCCTTCTGTGGACATTGATGGAGTTAAAGACTAAATAATTAAAGTTTTCCTTAGTTAAGATAAAAAGGTAGATTAGGTATAAAACATTTGGCTCACAAAAATAAGATAAGTACTATTTTCTCTAAATTTGCCAAATATAGATGGGCTGGATATTATTACTGCAATTCTTACTTAATAACTGTTTTTGTTATATGTAATTTTACAATATTAAATATAAAATCTTCCTTTTTAATTAAACAAAAGGGGGGAAGTATGGAATATTCTTTACATTGTGTGAACATATGTCACTGTGATTGGCTTAATAAAGAAGCTGACTGCCAATAGCTGGGCAGTATAAGATTAAGCAGGGGAACCAGACTAAGAATGCTAGGAAGAAGGACAGAGTCAGAGGAGTCAGACAGACAGAAAAGAAGCAAGACATGTAGGAGCCATAAAAGCAAGGAGCCACAGGACAGTATATAGGAAAAAATGGGTTAATTTATGTTGTAAGAGTTAGTTTGTAACAAGCCTGAGCTATTGGCTGAGCATTTATAATTGATAAGAAGTTTTATGTGGTTACTTGGGAGCGACTGCTGAGACACAGAGAAATTCTGCCTATGTAGAAGTTTTGTTTTTAGTATTTTGTTTAAAATGTGAAAGAATTTTCAAGTGAATCCATCTGTATCTTGGCTTTTTTGTTTTTATTTTATTACTGATACAATATTTGTTATGGGACTACTTAAGCTGTTCATCTTTTCTTTGTTTAATTTTGGTAGTTCAGATCAATCTAGAAATTTATTCATTTCTGGCAAGCATTCTTATTTAATGTCAGTTGTTTAAAATATTCCTTTATATCAGGTGGTGGTGCACACATTTAATTCTAGCACTTGGTAGGCAGAGGCAGGAAGATCTCCAAATTCAAGGCCACCCTGGACTATAACGTGAGTTCCAGGACAGCCAGGGCTACTCAGAAAAAACCCTGTCTTAAAATAAATGAATGAATAAATAAATAAATAAATAAATAAATAAATAAATAAATAAATAAATAAATAAATTCTTCATAATGTTCTAAAATTCTTTGGTGTCTGCTTTATTTTTTTTCCAGTATATCTTTTTCTGTTAATTTAGATTTCTTCTTTCCTTTTTTTTAGTTAATTGGGTCAATGGTTTGCTGGTCTTTTTTTCCTTTCATAGGACCAGTTTTTAAATTTCTGGATTTTTTTTTTGTATTATTTTCTTTGTTTCTATTTTCTTAATTCCTGGTCTAATTTTTAATTATTTTTTCTACTTACTTGATAGGTTGGGTTTGTTCTTGTTTTTTCCAATTTATCTGTGCTCTTTCCTATTTTATTTTTAAAAATTTCTTTTAAAATATTTTTAAATTTTTAAGTATGTGGTTGTTTGGTCTACATGTTTGTTGGTGAATAACTTGCATAACTGATATCTGCAGAAAAGAACACCAGATGGCCTGAAACTAAAATTGCAAATGGTCTTGAGCCACCATGAGGGTCCTGGGAGTTGAACCCAGGTCTCCTAGAATAGCCAATGTTCTTCATCGCTGATCCTTCTCTCTAGCCCCCTCTTTCTTAAAAAAATTTTTTTTAATGTAGATACTTAGAGCTATAGGTTTTCCTCTTAGATTTGTTTTGGATATGTTCAAGAGATTTTGTCATATTGTCTTTCTTATTTATTTAATTCCAGAAACTTTAATAATTATTTTCTTGATTTCTTCTTTAACCATTCATATTTCTCTAATGTGTTGTTTATTCTCAATAAGTAACTGTGACTAGCAATTCCTTGACTGTTGACTTTAAGCCTTGTTTAATTGGTGAAGTAGAATAAACAGAGTTAATTGAAATTTCCTTTATTTGTTAAAATTTTATTTTTGTCCCAATATGTAAGTCTATTTTAGATAAACTTCCTTAGACTGCCTAGTATGGTATATATTTTATGGAACACTCTGTAGCTGTTAGGTCTATTTGACATATGATGATGTGTAGACAAATTTGTAAACAGTCTTATTAAATAAGAAACACAGAGCCAAATACAGGGGTGAAAGCTGTAGAGATCAGAGAAATAGTGATAACTACCGACTAACAGCGTACCACACTGCCATAGTTTCCCAAGAGAACCAGCTTCTTCCTGTCTAACCTGGACCTTTATTGCCTTGTTGTTCTGCCTTCTCATTGCCTCTTAGCCTAGCTACCCCACTAGGAATTGATGAGGACATCAATGCCTGTGTGTACAGACCTCCAGGTCTCCTTGGTTGGTACTGGGATTAAAAGCATGTGTCACCATGCTTAGCTATGTCCTTGAACACACAGAGACTCTGCCTGCCATGTGGTCAGATTAAGGGTATGTGCTACGACCGCCTGACTTTGGTTTATGACTGGCTATGACCTCTGATCTCCAGGCAAACTTTAGTTATTAACATACAAATAAGATATCAGCCCATTTCCACACAAATAAAATATCACCACAATGATGTTTAATTTAAATGTTCTTGATTGTTTTGTTTTGTTTTTGATGAGATGATCTGTCTATTTTAGAAAGTGAAATATTGAAAACTTCTACTACTACCCAATTGAGGTTCATCCCTGTTTTTAATTCCAGTAATACTCTATTGACAAAACTAAAGTGAAAATGAAATTATAAAAGAAAATGCCAGAGTTTTGTGTATATCTGTTCAGAATAATAAAGTCTTCTTGGTTAATTATTCACTTCACTAGAATAAGTCCTTCTTTTTCTCTTCTATTGTACTAGTTTGAATTCATTGTTTATAATAAATCAGAAATATAGTTTAAACAATTCTTTAGCATATGTGTACTTTTATCATTGACTAAAGGTAAAAACACAATTACATACTAATAGGGTAGATGTTTCCCTCTGTTTTTATATAAAGAAAAATCTTGACTGAATATTTGATACTAAAGGAGAAAGAGTGTATTCAGTATCTGTTTTTAAGTGGTTGATATTTTGATTTTATAATAGTTAATGCTAAGAATGATATTTTGCATAAATGTGGACTAAAAATTGGCAGCTCTTATAGCCATTTAAGACTCTATGTTAATCCCCAACCAAAATTATAGTATCTTTTTATGAAATACACCTTAATTTTTTAAGATTTTTTGTGCAAGTGTGTTTTGCTTGTACATATGTTTGTGTATCACTTGCCTAATTGGTTCCTGTGGAGCCAGAGAAAGTGTTGGACTTTGGAACCAGAGTTTCTGAAGGCTGTGAGTTACTGTGCATGCTAGAAATTGAACCCAAGTCTTCTGGAATTGCAGCCACTTCTCCTAACCATGAAGCCATATCTATAACCTCTTCCTCAAATATTAATTTTTAAAATCCAACATTCTAACACAATACAACCCAGGAATATATATATATATATATTAATTTGAAGTTTGAGGAATAGTCACAGAAAAATATTAGTTTTCTTCCCCACAATTAAATCATAGATTTTGTATGTATAGTAAATAGTATAAATATCAGTCTGCGTACTCACTGGGCATGTGTACAATATTTTCTAATTGGAGTTGAGATGTATTCAGGCAGTGTTTGTTGGTGCTCTGTAACTTGATGGCATTCACAATGCAGTGTAAAAATTTGTGTTTATAAGCAAAGCTGTGTTACATTTCTACAATGTAATATTGGTGAATACCGATGGAAACACATTTCATGAATACTGATGGAAACACATTTCATGATTTTTGAATGTATTTTTGACCATTTATGGGTAAAAAAATCCCTTTTGCTGTTTACAACTTTTTTTCTTTTCATTTTCCTTTTTTTTTTCTTCAATACGGGGTTTCTCTGTGTAGTTTTGGTGCCCGTCCTGGATCTCACTCTGTAGACCATGCTGGCCTTGAACTCAGAGAGATCTCCCTGCCTCTGCCTCCCGAGTGCTGGGATTAAAGTCTTGTGCCACCAGTGCCTGGCTATTTACAACTTTTGACTGACCTTGATGTTTAGCTATTCTGTGAGTTTGCTGAGGATAGAGCAAATCTAGAAAATCATATACTGTCTCAGTTTCTTTCTCTCACTGAAAAAAATTGGGCTTATAATTACTATATCTATCTCAAAATCTATTGTGAGCTGAAATCTCTGTTAATTTTAATGACTACTCAACTTGTGTCAATCATGGAGATATCATTACTGATTATTGTTTTCATCAGAATTTCTAACTTTGTTATTCACTATGATAAACATTTGTTTTATGCATTACTCATTTCATATTACAAAGTGTTCTGTGAAGGAAAATCTGACTCATTCTTGAAATCAGGTTTTGCTTCAGGTGAATCAGTTTTTGTTTTTTTGTTTGTTTGTTTGTGTTTTGTAGGTTAGAAAGCTTTGAAGTGTTTTCCTTCAACATGTTCAATTTACTTATTTTACTATAATTTATTATATATCTCCATTTAGGTGAGTTTTGTTGTTTTCTTATTTGTTATGAGACAGGATCTCATTATGTCATCAAGTCTGGACTTAATTTTACTCTGTAGCTCAGAATGGTCTCAAAG